TTCCATATTTTACAATAAATCAAACAACAGGAACAATTATACTTCGTAATAATATACCAGGTGTATTTAGTTTAGATGTTAATCAATTTCCAATAACATTTCAAGTTTATGCACAAGATCGTGGTTCACCACCACGTGTTAGTGAAGCTAATGCAACGGTAACAATTTATTATAATAATGGTAATGATCCACCACCAGCTCGATGGAGTGATCCACGTTATGAAGAATTAAATTTTCCAATTATTGAAAAATATTATGAAAGATATAGTGATCGACCTATATTTAATGATACTTATGGTTTTAATGGTACTATTATTTATCAATTAACATCACAAACATCATCTATTATGACTGTTAGTAGTCCTTTTCCAAATACATATATACCATTTAGTGATGCACCTGTATCAAAAAATGGAAATATATTTAGTAGTGGTATTGTTGTTACAAGGTATAAATGAAGATTTATGTTTTTTGAATTTTAGTGAACAGAGTTAAACAATGAATTTAAGTGTTCATACAAAGCTCATCAGATTTATAATAAATTTCAAATGCATGATGAATCTGTAATCAAAATTGATGAGATATTTATTGTAGAATTAATTCTAAATTGCTACAATGATTTTATTTTCCTACTTGATCGATTGGCTTAGCATTCAATAATAAGCCTCAATTGATCGAAAAATTTTACATTCGATAGTCTCTTGGAAAATGCATAGGGTGCACTATTCACTGAATAGAAAAAAAGTGTCCTGTGCCTTCGAGATGACTATCGAAATCAGATTAGAAAATTATTAAAGTACACTTCGACTGGATCCCAAAAATGTTCAACAAACTGGCAGTATTTTATCTAGATTTTCTCTTTCGAAGCCAGACTCAGATCCAAAAATTTTCGATCTGATGGGCTCTAGTCCCCTGGAAAATGTGTCGGGCACACTACTTACTGAATAGAAAAAAGTATCTCGCGTCTATGGAATTTCGATTAGGAAATCATTGAAATGCGATTCGGGTTCCAAAAACATTCAAAAAAATTGGCCGTGTTTCATCCAGACTTTCTGTTTCGGAGAGGCGCTGAGTCTGGATCCGAAAATTTTGGATCCGATTGGCTCTAATCGTTACAATATGAAATTTAATGGAACTTTTATACGACCATAAAAGGTATCGCTCCCAATGAAAAAGTGTTGGACCTAATGTACCAAAACGATCTTGCTCATATTTAGCCTTAACCCTTTACCCCCCCTTGGTCACTGGAATGACCATTTGTAGAACGATTGCAGAAAATAAAGGAAGCACAGAATTCAAAACCTCTAAGAGCACTATTTGTAGTAAACTTCATGAGCTATCGACTAGTAAAAAAAAAGATTTTTTTCGCTGTGCTAGTGCCGAGATATACAACTTATAAAATCGATGATTTTCAAAAAAAGTAAAAAATGGAATTTTCTTGGTAAAATTCTTTTTCTACCTCTAGGCAATATATATCTTGGCGACGTGTTGCGTGATTTACATCAAAGAAAGTGTCCACTAGTAGATTATATAAGTTTCAAAAATTTGAAAAGCATTGGGTAGGCAAGATGTGGTAAAGCATCGAATGGTCACTGAACGACTTCCAGAAAATCAACCCTTAGCTTTTGGCCGTCTACAATCCGAAAATAAAGTTTTGTTTAAACGACGTAAAATTATAGAGTGAACAATTCTCTACAAAATAAGACGTCCACGAGCTCTCTACGACGTTTTTTGGCCGAACTCCGTCGGTATTATGGAAAGTTCACGAAATTTTTTCCAAATCGATCCCCCTACTCCCCCTCAACAAACTACCCTAAAACTCAAGTGTGCGTTTGATCGATCTGACCGTAATTTTAGCATATTGGAGGCACCAATACTCTATTCCAATGGTTGTTTCATCAATAGCTCTTCTGGAACCTCTATGGGGGGTAAAGGGTTAATTCGAACTTTAATTTTGGGCAAAATGAATTCCTTTTAGGAATAGAATCATATATATTTTTCGTTTTTTTGCTAGTGGTCTTCATGCTGAAATTCAAAGTGTTTATTTAATATATATTCGTGTACTTGTTAATCCTCCATTAATTGGTTCAACAACAATAACATTAATTGATCAAAATGATCAAATACCAACATTTGATATACGTTCAATTGTATTAAGTGTTGTTGAAAATGAAAGTGGAAATCGTATTATTGCACAAATTCAAGCATTTGATCGTGATGTTGATTATCCAAATAATTATGTACAATATCGTTTAAATGGAAATTTAAGTGATTCAGAAGTTAATGGAAATTTTTTTGTTGCTTCAAATGGTACAATATGGACAAATGCAACATTTGATCGTGAAAGTAATAAAACACTTTATCGTTTATTTATAACTGCATATGATGGTGCACCAGCATGGGATGCAAAAAATAATCAACCAAATACACAAGATTTTCAATTTGATATACAAGTTATTGATGTTAATGATGTTCCACCAGGTAAATATTTTTTGATTGAAGAAGATTTATGAAATAATTTTTTTTTTAGTTTTTATTAATTCATCATCAATAACAATATCAATAAATGAAACAACAATAAATGGTACAGGAATTCTTAATTTAACAATAACTGATACAGATTTTGATACAATACTTGATTTTGGAATATTAAGTGGAAATCTAAAAAATGTTTTTTCATTTAATTTATTATCTGATAATATAGCTGATTCATCACGTACACAATATATTGCTATAGGACAACTTTATGTTGTTGGTCCATTAAGTTATGAAATAACACCTAATTATACATTAGTTTTATTTGCATTTGATACACAAAATTTAGCAACAATAACAGTTACAATTAATTTATTACCACAAAATACTAGAGCACCATATTTTAATTTAATGCCAGGTTTTACATCATATCAATATGAAGTTAATGAAGGAACAGCAATTTCTAGACTTGATGGACCTGTTGTAAGTTATGAAATTTTAATTTAAGAAAAATTCGAAAGATATTGAGTCTAGAATAGAAAGAAAAAAAAAAGAAGCAAATCATTTTTTGTTTGTAACGAACATTAGATTTGAATGTGAAAATTTTACTTCATATTCGAACTGATATGAATCTCTGATTAAAACTTATGATTGTATATTGAACATTCCTAAGAAATGTCTGAGTTGGTTCGATTGTTTCTGAACACAGATCTAGAGTTCGGATTCAATGTATGCTTAGTTTTAATTTAATAATTCTTTTTGATGGAGAATTTTAACCATTGTTCAGATTCGATAGATAATAGAAATCATGAACGTCTTGGTATAAAGTATTCTCATTCATTTTTTTCGGATACTTTAACACAGTTAGAATCATAAGAGATCGAAAATTGTGCTTGTACAGAATATCACTTTGATCAATTTTATATTCCTAATGAAAACAATCAAATTCAAAATGTGAAACAGTTTTTAATGGTTCCGTTTTCTCGAGTAAATTTTGCTCTACAGGAGCATGGAATTTACTTTTGCATGAGAAATTTTAAAAACTTTGATATTTTTAAATCATTGCGGATTTCCATAAAAAAATAGCACTTCGATGGAAACACATAAATGAAATTTCACTTATTGTAATATCTCATTTTGCATACAATAGTTATACCAAGACACAAACTAAGGACTGTGCAAAAAGTCTTATTTAGCTTTGTGTACAGATCAGAGATGTCCATGGCGCCGTGATAGTAGCAGATTCTCAGTCATGATGGGTATCTATGGTACAGAAACAGTTTCGGACTTTGTTTTTTGAAAAAATTTATTAATGGTTGTTTAATCTTGTCTCTGAAGGAAAATTTGAATAATTATTTGAAAATTCTAATTCTAACCAGTTATCCTAATAAGTGAAGATTTTCGCATCATAGATTATCTAATAGAATTCAGTAGAATGTTTCTTAAATTCTCGCAGTCTGCAATATTGGATAAAATTTTCCTTCCACAGCAGACCGAAGGTTTCGGAAGTTTGTGTGTACATTCTCCATCAAGAGTATAAATCAGAGACATAAGGTTTGCCTCAATAGCTTAATTGATCTATTGGTACCAACACGATGATTATTGACATTTATAAAGTATAAATTTTCTCTATTTTAGATTCGAGCAACTGATCCTGATATTCCCGCTACATCAATGGTTTATAATATTGTAACTAATAATAATCAATTAAATTTAAATAGTTTATATTTAAATCAAGCAAATAATGAAACAACAATTGGTATATCATTACCTGGTCTTTCACGTGATTTACCATTTGGTTATTCAACATATAATTTTTCTATTCGAGCAACAGATGAAGGTGGTTTAGGTGTATCAAGTTATGCACC